CGGCTCATTCCTTGTCCGCCTCCTTTTTGGCCTCGGCCAACGCACTCTTGAGGGCTTCGACCTCAGACGTGTCCACTATTGGCATAATCATAGAGTTCACTTAGATAATAAATGGGAGCTCTTATCTTCAAGATAAGTTTTTGCATCACATACCCTGCTTTTCCTCCAACTGCCGCTTTAGCTCGGCCAGTTCGGCGGCATGCGAGGTTGTCACTCGTTTAGAAGCCTTTGTATCAAAATAAACATATATGTTAGCTCTTGCAAAGCATCATTCGATCCCCTGTTCGACCTTGCTTCACGAACGCCGAACAGAGTCTCAGGGGCTACTATCCATATACAGGTGTTCCTTTTGCAAAATAACGAAAAAATATATTACTTCACATACCTCAAAGCCTGCTAGAAGGCTGGTATAGGCTTGGTTCAATCCGCTCTTGGCGGACCAAACCTTTTCAATTGCCGTACCCATAAGGGTACGGTGTTCCTCCATAATGGAAGCACTTTGAAGCGCTTCCACCAGAGTGTCCGGCGCCTCCGGATTGATAGAGGACGTCGGTGGAGACGGCGCACCCCCTTCCCTCGAGGAAGGCTACTAGTCTGATTCTGGAGCTGTATGGGTCTCCGAAATAATATTCGGTTGGGGGCCGAATTGGTCGTTGCCCCCATCGCCGGTCTCCATGGGGGTTGATTTCACCCTCTCTTCGGCAATACAAGTATTACCCTCCGCCGCCACCTTCACGGCCTCCTGTACCTCCCCATGACCGGGAGAGGTTCTTTGGGACAACACCTCGGTGTTATCCGTGGCAGGGGGTGGAGAGATCTGCGAAGGCGACTCGCTCTCCATCGCGTTCGTCCCTAACGAGTTCCCAGATGACGATGATCATTGGGGGAGATCGTGAACCGGGCTATAATGCGTAATTCAGTATGTTAAAATAATAAGGCATAAAAATCAGATATGGTGTCTTCGAGTACTTACAATTCAGCCAAGGGCTTCGGCCTGGGGTGCCGCTTTGGGATGGCATCGGCATCCCCTTTGGAATCATACGAAAGGGAGGGTTTTCCCTTCTTGGCCACCTCCGCCTCCAGATCTACGGAAGCTGGCCTCTTCTCTCCCCCCCCCCTTGGGGGGAGAGTTACTCTCTTCCTCCTCTACATCTTCGTCATGGGAGGAGGAGGTCTCGGAGTCTTCGGACTTGGCGTCCGAAGTATCCTTACGACGGAGACCACCTCTGGTCTCCTTGCCCTTCTTCTTGGCCTTCTTCTCCGGCGCCTGATACGGCATCGGAACCAGCATCTTGGTCAGCAAGGGGGTAGCCTGGTCCTCGGGCAGCAGAGCCGAACATTTGATCTGCTCCGCTTTCTTTGTCCAGCCCTGTGAGAGTTAGAAAGTTCAATATACTCCTTGTATGGGCAAACAAAAGTTATCATAAAACTTACGGGAGTGGCTGGATGTGCGCAGTCAAGCCCGCGGTCTTCGGTTGTCTCCGGCCATGACTTTTGAGTCTTGAAGAGCAGCTTCCATATGTCTTCATGCATCGTGCTGAAGAATCGTTGCAGGGTAAGAGGACCGGCAGGGTCGAATTCCCACATATGTTGAGTCTGGAGTTGACAAGGGAGAATTCAGCGAAAAAGCATCACCTGGATCACGCTGGCGAGGCTGGTGTTCTTGTTTACCATGCCCTTGACGTGGCTCTCCAGCGCCGTCACCTCGTCAGGCGATTCCCAGTCTAGGCCCTTATTGAGCTAGGATGTAAGCCGCGTCGGGGGCCCAGATTTGAACTCAGGAGCAGTAGCCCATGTGGCGTCGCGGGGTTCCGTGATATAGAACCACCCCTGCTGCCATCCTTTGACGCTCTCCACAAAGGTCCCCTTTGGCCAGGTGACGTTGGGGAGTTTGCTCACCATGGCGCCGCCGCACTCTGCGTGTTGGCCCTCGACCACCTTTGGCTTCACATTGAAGACCTTAAGCCATGGCCGAAGTGGGAAGGGACGCGGAGGAATGCCTCACACACGACGATAAATGCCGAAAGGTTGAGGAAATAATTTGGGGCTAGATCATGAAAATCTAGCACATAGTAGAACATGAGGCCGCAGACAAACGGATGAAGGGGGAACCCTAGTCCACGAAGGAAATGGGGGATGAACACTATCCTTTTGTTGGGCTCCGGAGTAGGAATGATCTGCTTTTTGGCAGGGAGCCGGTGGACTATGTCCGTGGCTAAATACCCAGCTTCCCGTAGCTCCGTGATGTTCTCCTCTGTGACAGAGGAAGCCATCCACTTGCCCTGCGCTCCAGATCCGGACATGGCTAGGAGTGTTTGGTGGCGATGGAAAGGATTGAGACTTGGGCGCTGGAGCTCGAGTGGTGGTTAGGCTGAGGAGGAAGAAGGCATGGGGTAAAAAGATGGTTCTTTGTCTTCTTATAAAGGCAATGGATATCAAGCGTCCCCTCTGGAGCCTTAAATCTCGCCTATTCCCAAGGGGACGTGTGAACGGCACGGTTGGATTATCCAAACCCCTGTTAATGAGAATCCCGTGATAAGGGGACATGATCTCTGCTTCGACGAGACGTGTCGATGGCCAAGCCTCGAAACACGAAGCGAGGGCCATAAAACATTTCAGAATACTAACAAGGCTAGGACATAACGCCTTGCCGGAAAAATCGCCTATGGATGTGACTTTCTTTTCGGATATTTGTTGCCCTTACAGCTTGAAGTTGAAATTATTAAACAGAGTCAGATACAACTATCATGAGCGAGGGACTGCTTGGAGTATTCGGAGAAGGAACCCACCTTGCAATGTCGAAGACAATCTGCGCGCCGGATACGTCGTCATTGAATCCTGGTTCAGGGGCTACTGAGGGAGTCCTGGACTATGGGGTCCTCAGGGAGTCGTCCTGTGTGACATGGGATGGACTGATGGGCCGTGAAGATACAAGATAGAAGGACCTCCCCCGTGTCCGGATGGGACTCTCCTTTGCGTGGATGGCAAGCTTGGCGTTCGGATCATGTACCTTCCTTTCTTTGTAACCGACTCCGTACTACTCTAGATCCCTCCGGTGCCTATATAAACTCGAGGGCTTAGTCCATAGGCAGGATCACAATCATACAGACTAGATATCTAGGGTTTAGCCATTACGATCTCGAGGGAGATCAACTCTTGTAACCCCTATACTCATCAAAGGCAATCAAGCAGGAAGTAGTGTATTACCTCCATTAAGAGGGCCCGAACCTGGGTAACATTGTGTCCCCTGCCTCCTTGTTACCTTCGATCCTCAGAGGCACAGTTCAGGGCCCCTACCCGTGATCTGCCGGTTTTGACACCGACAGTTGTCGGCAGATCGGATCTGCCGGCAACTGCGCGTTGTGCCGCAGAGTCCGCAACTACTGCTTAAACAGAAAGAGGCAGCTGCGCCTAAGCATGTTTGTGTCGCCTGCATGCCAAAGTCGATGAACAACCTCCCTGGATGCCGCTGTGAAGAAGTCGTGTGTCAGATGGAGTTGATTTGGACGTCGTTAGAGGCACCGATTTCTGCACTGATTTCACCGGAAATTGGAGGATCTACATATTTATTTGGTAGCTAAAGAATTCGATCTAAGAAATCTTGAAAAATTGAAATTGATCTAATCTAATCTAAAGAAAATTAATCTAATTTTGATCGATCGGGTGCCACGCCCCGGGGAGACTCCTCTTCCCGGGGGGCTGCGTGCTGCAGAAGTGGTGGAAGGTCCTAGGATCAGCATCGTTAGACAAACCACCCTAATACCATGTATATATATAATACATGAGGGGTAGAGACTTGAGTACAAGATAAGTAATACATGGTTTAAACATATTCGATCTCTACTCTTTATCTCTATCTTTAAACTCAAACTATATTCTAACACGCCCGAGCATGCCAAGGCGTCCCATATCTTCCTCAGATATAAACTATATATTAGGGGTGTCGATCAGCCCTGTAGTTTGAGGCCGGCTTGAGGTGTCTGGATGGGTTGAGTTCTTATCGATCTATCCGCCAGACGTTTGAAGCCGGTTTGAGATGACCAATCGTAGATATTCTAAAATGACTCTACTTGCTTGCCGTCCATGGGCACGGCCACGGAGATGGCCAGTTCCGCCGCCGGGTGGCGGATGCAACTTTTTTTCTTTCGTACCTTGTTTTTTTTTGACGGGGTTCTTTCGTACCTTGTTGGGAGGCCAGACGGGAGCAGCGCCAGCATGGGCCCCGGGGCAAATGCTGCTGTCTTTTTTTTTTTTGCATGGACAAATGCTGCTGTCTGGTTAATCCAGTGCAAAACTGCACTGTGTACTGTACTACTCGGCATACGTACGAACAGTTTCGTTCAAAAATACTCACAATAAAATCCGGCTCAACAGCAAAAGATAATTGGCCCAGTTTGATGTATGTATTTTTTGGTCACACTGCACAAAAGAAAAATCCAGGCTCAACAACAAAAGATAATTGGCCCAGTCTGATATACATATTTGTTTTTTTTTGTCTATGCCACGTATGAAAGTATGCTGTTTTCGTTTTTGTATTTTTGTCTGATATACATATTTTATACATAACATAAAATCCGAAATGGAAAACGGTATGAAAAGTTCATGCCATATCAAAATCAGAAACCATAAAAACCGTAAAATTATTTCGGTTTGGTTTATTTTTGGTACTCCCTCCGTAAAGAAATACAAGAGCATTTAGATCACTACTTTAGTAATTTACACGCTCTTATATTTCTTTATAGAGGGAGTATGTTTTTTAGGTTTGGTTTTAAAATGCACAAAGTTTGGAGCTCCTCCTCCATTTTGTAATTTTGGTAGTCATATACGTAACAATGATGCCAACAGATATTTGCAAGTTTTTTGTAGAATGGATAATCTTGCAAAGATCCAACTTCTTGCAGGATTAAACAGAGTCTGTTCTCTGTAGGATAGGAAATCTTCTAGGCAAGCGTAGGTGCACCACTCATGTGCAAGAGAGATCCCGAGACGAAACATTCCGGTCAGGATCGGGGCTCCGTCATGCTGATCGTCACATCGTTCACCGAACACACAGGCGGCCCGCTGCCGGGCGGCGCCGTGATGTACCCGGGGGCAGAAGGATCCGGCACAAGCATCTCATTGCTAAGGAAATAGGTGACCTCGTCCATGGCCGGCCTCCTGGACCGGTCGTTCTGAACGCAGAGGAGCGCGACCTGCACGCACCGTGATGCTTGCTGCATCTGCTCATGGTTCCCAAGGCCAAGATGGTCCCTCTCCAGCACGTCTCCAACTCTAAGGTCGCTCCAATGCTGCCACACCTGCAGCTCAGGGAGATGGTTGCCCGGTTCAGATAAAAAACACAAGAAATGACTGAGATGCGGATCCCTTACATGTTCCACGAGACCGGTGCAGTTGTCGTTCTCGAACCTATTAATGCTCTGCCCAACTAAGATCTCCAGCACCAGCACCCCGAAGCTATACACGTCCGATTTGGTGGAGAATTTCCCTTCCGCATAGCACTCTGGAGCTATGTATCCACTTCAGTAGGAACCAGAGGAACGCGACCAGTCAGAGTTTCTACTGTATAAACAAATATGTTGACTTCGGTAATCTACTGGAACTAATCAACTGAACTGAAATCATTAATTATGCATACAACGTGAAGACGACAAGCAGGCTACTAAGTTATCACAAGTGTTCTTTGGAAATATGGAACAAGTCACATAATATGTATATGTAGTCAGCGAAAAGAGAACAGACTTACTAAGTACCGGCCATGTTACGAGTGCTTTCATGACTCCTCTCCCTGTTGTACCCTCTTGCAAGATCGAAGTCGGCAATTTTCGCAGCAAAGTTGGAATCAAGGAGGACGTTAGATGGCTTGAGATCCCTATGAACAATATCCTTCCCAGAATCAAGGTGAAGATAAGTAAGGCCACGTGCAACCCCTTTGATGATGTTGAGCCATTTTGCCCAGTCCAGTTTTTGGTACTCGGCTGAACCTGTCAAATCCATGACGACACAGATATCTAGATATCGGTCAAAATAAATAGGAGAAATCCATAATCACGACTGAGCGATTGCACAATTACCTTTGAAATAGTTGCTTAGGCTTTTATTGCTAAGGTATTCATATACAAGAAACATCTTATCGTCCTGAAAGCAATGGCCCAAGAACTTGACAAGGTTCTCGTGCTGAAGCTCGGCAACCAGAGAAACCTCCCTTTTCAGTTCTTCCAGATTTTTTCTTGCAAGTTTTTTTATGGCTATTTCTTTCTTGTTCTCCAGTATTCCCTGTTGGTTAATTCATAAACAGTACTAGCCTCAGTATGTTGAGAAATTTGTACTCTCTCTCTAAATAAGTGTTGACATGTTAAATGTGTTGTATCAAGCATTTTTAGACTTCCCCTGCTGGTGTGCTTGGCTGGCCACATGAAAATAACTGGAACAATCAAACCCAGTTTTGAGTTTTTACTAGAACAATTCCATGGGCAATTATACTGCCAGAAAGAAATGTGCTGCAGTATGTTGGTACTAACAGAGGACCGCATTGTACTAGATTCACAATACCTAAGCTGCAAACCATAACAGTCAAGCTCTAGAGGTTAGTGCTCAGTAATTGTTCGGTACCTTGTATACTACGCCGCATCCACCAGATCCTAACCGATTTTCCTCGGAGAAATTAGCAGTGGCATTCACCAGAGTTTGGTAGCTGTACTTACCACCCCCTGAACAAATGTGTGAAGCCTTGAGTTGAGCTGCGAAACAGTACTCGTAAGAGAAAGATGAATGGGGAATACCCGTGGCAATCTTTGATTTCCGGCCTCTCCGTCTGCACCACAATGCTACTAGGATTAGTGCGAGTATAGCAGCTCCGCCTGCAGAACAAGAAAGTGCAATCACCTTGCCTCGATCTGTTATCGGAAAGGAAACCAATGTGAAACACAGAGGAGAGGGAAATCCGTTGCCAAAATTGGCGAGAGGAGAGCGCGTAGGGTACGAAACCTTTGTTCTGTGGAAGGGAAATGCTTCCTTCCGGAGCCGCGGCGCCGTCGCCCTCTGGGACGGTGACATGGGCCACGGGCAGGAGGGACGCGTTGAAGAAGGGAGAGCCCGCGTACCGCAGCATGCAGCTGGGGCGAAGGACCTGCATCCCGGCAGTGGAGTTGAACTCGTCGGAGAGGCGTGACAGCGCGCCGCGGAGACAGCTGCCGCAGTCATGCGCCGTCATCTGGGTGATGCACTGGGCCAGCCCGTAGACACTCGCACGGCCACGGCCGCCGGTTGCCGCTGCATCTGGGTAGTCCGCTATCCCTGCAGCGGTCCTGGATCTGTTCGCGGTGGCGTTGGCTGCCACCTTGCCGAGCAAGCCAGTAGGCACCTTCTTCGGGAGGCTAGGCGCGTTGCCGTCGAACACGGCCACCGTGTACTCATCGACATCGAAGCTGCTGAAGTTGTGTGGACTGGAGCGGAGGAGGCAGCTGTCATAGCGCACCGCGGCGGAGTCGCAGTGGGTGTCAAGTGTGCCAAGGCAGGCATTGAGGCAGCGCAAGCACTCGTCCGCTGGCACGTCGGGCCGGCACTGCGCGAGCGCATACTCGTCCGCGCGGTCCGGGCCGGTGGTGGTGGTGACCCTTCTTTGATCGTAGCGCGTCACACTGGACAATCTGTCGGACGCGCTAGCTGCCTCCACAACCTGTCACAGACTGTAACCGAAGGCGCCGTAAAACGGAGAGTCCGGGCTCGAGTGCACGCCGTCGACGTGGACGCACAAGGCAAGGGTGGCGCTGCCGTTGCCGCCGGATGCCGCCACCGCTCTCAGGGTGAAGAGAGTGGCCGCTGCAAGGACCTGGGAGGAGGAGGAGGAGGCCACGATCATGGTCTCCCTGTTGGTTTGCGCTAAACCAAAGCTGGATGGAATCGGGAGTCTGGGACCTGTCGCCATCCTGGAGGGTGTCGTCTGGTCTAGAAAAGGGGATATGTGTGGCGTGCCTTTTCCCCGTCATAGTCAAAGTCTCCCCTCTCCGTCCGTTCCGGGTCTTTTCGCTTCTCGCGGCCGTTGAACAGATCTGATCGGTGGGAGTGGGACCTTTTATCGAGTAAATTGCACACGGTACCATAATTGAGGCATTGGAAGCAGATTGATATCAAGATTGATAATTTTTACGTGTCAGTATCAAGATTGGGGCGAGCCGTTGCAAAACAGACTAAAAGTGCGTTTTATACGTATTGATAGAAAAGTGGACCGGTTGGGCCCGCCCGTCAGGCGCCACGTTGTCCAGTGCGCGCGTGCCCGCGCGCTGACTGGGCGCTGACTGGGACGAGGCCGGCTCGCACCGTTTAGGTCTCGCTGGTGCGACCGAGCCAGACCCCGACCCCGCTCTGCCCTCTTCCTTCTCCTCGCGCCCTCGCCGGCGGCTGCCTCCCCGCCCGCCCCGCCGCCCGCCACACCACGCCGCCGTAGCCATGGATCGAACTGCTTAGGCGTTGTCACCTCCCCCGCGGCTGCTCCTCCCTCGCGCCCTCCTCTCCCCCGCGGCTGTTGTGCCTTAGGCGACGATGGCCGGGGCGATGTGAGCGGCGGCGACCTCCCCCGCTTAGGCCTCGATGGTAGTGGCGGCTACTCCAGCTCAGAGTACAGTAGCAAGGACGAAGATTTTGCGGAGCCGGTGTTGTCGATGGAGCAGAGGCTGAAGATGGCGCGAATTTGGGTGGCCAACCCTAGCACCGCCCATCACTGGACTCATGGCTTCGGTAGTGTTCTTTAAGTGTTCCACTGTTCCATTCTTGCAAACTCAAATTGGGGATTAGGGTTAGGGTTTACTGCATGCATGTTTAGCACTCTAATTGCTAGTCCTAGTAGAGCAGAGAAGTATAGTGGATTACATGAGTCCTAACTAGAGCAGAGCACCATTATGTGTTACCTAACTAGAGCAGAGCAGAGCAGAGCAGCATTAGTGGATTACATTGTTATTTCTTAGTCCAAATTGTCAGAGCAGCATTAAGTGTTACCTAGCTAGAGCAGAGCAGAGCAGAGAAGCATAGTGGATTAAATGAGTCCTAACTAGAGCAGAGCACCATTAGTGGACAATTCTGTTAACTACTTATCTGAAAATACAAACCATCAGTTTGCTGTGAGTTAAGTACCCACTCTGTAATTAGGGTTGTATTGAGATAGTTGTTTACATTGTTTGATTTTGTAGTAATTGTTTAGTTTTTATGTTAACTTAAACAAAGCTTTGTTTATATGTTAACTTGTTTATATGTTAACTTAAACAAAGCTTTGATTATATGTTAGCCTATCTATTAAGTGAAATTGTTTATTAACCATTTTTGGCTGTTATTTCATTTTGCAGTTTGTATGATGACATTTTGGATGTTAGGTTCTATTTTGATGCTTCAGAAATGCTTGAGCTGAAGCTCTGCAGTTCAGATGTAACATACCTGAATATGATTGCAGTGATGGAAACCCAAGGATTTAGTGAATATGATCTGTTGTTTCACATTGAGAATCCACATTTAGGGGAGAAAGGATTGGAGATGGTATAGTGTAATGCTGAGTTGCAATTAGTAAAGAAGCAGGTTGAGGAATCTAAGGTCTTAAATTTGCTAGTGAGGGCATGTCCACCTCCTTGCAGCCAGTTTGAGAGGCAAGAATTATCCACTGTTGTGTATGAAGAGCATGTGTTATATGATCTCAGTGAGCCACCCATCTATGCTGTTAATGAAGAAGGATTTGCCTTTGAAAGTCAGAGTAGCAGCTGCAGTGTAGCTCATGGTACTGGTGTTTGCACACAAGAGAGCAAGAATGTAAAAGGAAAACTGAAAGCTGTTTTGGAAATAGAAAAAGAAGAGGGATATGATGGCAGTGGTGGTTCTGATTGTGAAGGTGAAGATGACAGTGATGTACCACCTTTTTATATGGGTGATGCTGATGACATAGAGATGGCTGAGGGAAAGAAACAGAGAGAGTATGATGAAATAGAAGAGGAAGAAACAGATGATGAATAATCTGAGGAGGAAGAAGTGGTGCATTATGAGGGTGACACAAAGGTTGAGGAACCTTTTCAAATGGATGAAGATGACAAAGTTGTTTCACAGGATGAAGAAACTGTAATTGTACATGAAGAGAAGAAGAAGAAGAAACAGAAGCTTCCAGTTAGGAGAGGGCCTACAACAAGGACACATTCAAATGTAGTTCAAGAGGAGGAACCTGATTTCAAACCTTCATCTGATGAAGAAGAGAAAGGATTGTTGAAGGAGGCTGATGATGATGGTTTTGAGCCATTGTCATTTGTGCTGCCAAAGAAAAGGAAGAGCAGGGCAAATCAGAGGCCTCCTAGAAAATGGTAAAATGAGAAAATGGAGGCACCACATGAGCAATTATGTCTAAATATGTGTTTCTTGGATCAACATCAATTCAGAGAGGCTTTGTTGAACTTTCACATCACTCAAGGCAGAAACTTCAAATATCATAGGAACTCAGATCAAAGAATAATTGTAGAATGCAACCAAAAACATTGCAACTTCTTTATGGTGGCAGCAGTTATAAAAGGTGAAACTACTTTTGTAATTAATAAGATGAGAATTAAGCACATTTGCCCTATTAGTACAGAGACAACAAGGGTAAGTGCCAAGTGGCTTGCACAGAAGTATGAGTCACTATTCAGATCTGATCTAACAACTGGCATTCAGACTTTGATTGATGCCTGCATGGAGAAGTATGGTGTGGATGTGCCCAAGTCAATGGCATATAGAGCAAAGAACCTAGCTATTGATGTTGTGATAGGAGACCACAAGAAGCAATACCCTAGGTTGAAAGACTATGCTCAGACAGTGATGGATACAAACTCTGGGAGTAGAGTAGTAGTCACTACTGTAACTCCAACACCCACTGAAAAATCCCCCCATCCAGGTCCAAGATTCCATGCTATGTTCTATTGCATCAATGGAGCAAGGGAGGGGTTTCTCAAGGGGTGCAGACCATTCATTGGTTAGTTTGTTCACCTTGTGCATTAGTTACATATTGTTTCATCTTGAAATGCATTTGAATGTTTTAAATATTGAATTTGCTTGCTCATTCAGGTGTTGATGGGTGCTTCATTAAGTTAACTACTGGTGCTCAACTATTTGCTGCCACTGGTAGAGATGGCAACAACAATATATACCCACTAGCATTTGGTGTTGTTGGGCAAGAGGACACACCTAACTGGTGTTGGTTTCTCCACCAACTTAAAATCTGCCTAGGAGGAGAAGAGGGACAGTTTGGTCCATATACAATAATGTCAGATAGACAAAAGGTATGTGCTTGCAACTTATGTCATTGTTCCTATATGGTTGTTTTGTGCTATATAGTAGCTTAGCTAGTTTAATTGTGTGTTCCAGGGCCTACTAAATGCAGTCAATTTTGTGTCCTATATGGTCTTTCCTAATTGCAACCAAAGGTTCTGCCTTAGGCATATCTATGCAAACTTCCAAAATGCTGGGTTTAGGGGGGAAGATCTGAAGAAGTGTATGGATAATGCTGCATATGCATATAGTGAACACAAATTTAACATTGCAATGAATGACCTTAGAGATGAATGTGTGGAAGCTTGGGAGTGGCTTTGTCAAATACCCAAGAAAACATGGGCAAGGCATGCATTTGACACAAACTGCAAGACTGACCTTGTAGTTAACAATTTGTCTGAGGTGTTCAACAAGTATGTCCTAGATGTTAGGAAGAAACCAATTAGGACAATGTGTGATGGAATAAAGGATAAACAGATGATGAGGTGGCATAGGAATAGGGAGAGTGGAAAGAAAGCTAGATGGGACATAACACCCCATTATAGTGAGAAGCTAGAGGTTGAGAAGGAGAGGGCCAAATATTGCAAACCAATTCAAGCTGGTGTGGACTTGTGACAAGTTACAAGTGGGCAGCAAACCCATGCTGTTAACTTGCAAGTGCACACATGTGGGTGCAGAAAATGGGACCTCAGTGGCATCCCATGTAACCATGCCATCTCAGCAATAAACAAGGGCAAAAGAAAACCAAAGGATTATGTCAGCAAGTTCTTCAAGAAAGAATTTTATGTGGCAGCTTTTGAACCAATGATCTATCCAGTTCCTAGTGAGCAAGACTGGACAAAGACCCCTGGTCCAGACATTGACCCACCTGCATTTAAAGTGAAGAGAGGAAGAAAGAAAGAGAAGAGGATCAAGGGGAAATTTGAAGTTCCAAAGCCTAAG